TGACATTAAATACAAAGCAAAAAAGAGCGACATTATGATTGTTAAGAGCAAAGAAGACACTAAATTATCTTTTCCTGACTTCACTCTGTCTGGCAGCATCCTCCAGGTCACTGATGAGGTCAAATATTTGGGACATTACATCACCGCTGACCTGTCTGATGATAAAGACATTTACAGGCAGCATTGTACTTAACATGTACAAGCTAATATTCTTCTTCAGAGGTTCTCCATGTGCTTAGCATCTGTTAAAATTGCACTTTTTAAAGCATACTGTACTCCAATGTATACAGACCACCTGTGGGGGCATTACAGGAAAAGCAGTATGAATAAACTTCAGGTAGCTTATAATGATGGCATGAGGATGCTGCTTAGGGTGCCCCAGTGGTGTAGTGCCAGTCAGATGTTTGTGAATGTCAATGCACCAACCTGCGCTGCTGTGCTATGAAACATTATGCACAGATGTGTAGATTAACACAGCATCATTCAGGCTGACCAATCCTGTTCAAAGCTAAGTGAGATTCTTCTCCTGTTTGTGGAATCATTGGCGCTTTAGTTTATATGTCAGTGATTGATTATGTTATTATATTTTAATTTTTTTTCCGTTTTTTAAAATTATTGTTCTTGTTTTTTGTCTGTTCATGGACCATAATTGTGTCTAAATAAAGAGATTGATTGATTGATTGATTGATTGATTGATTGATTGATTGATTTGACACACAGATCTGCTCTGAGGTGGAAAGATGACGAACTGAAATCAGTGAGTCAAAGGTACTGATCACACTAAAAGGTTTCTTTCTATTGATTTAATGAAGCTAGGAATGAATTTTATAGGATTTGGATTAAAAGGAATGTTTTAGTTTGGTTTATTGGGAAGTGATACAGAACTATAATTGGAAAATGGTTCTGTGAATAAATCTGATCAAATGATTTCCAGGCTGATCACAACAAAGACGTCTCTGGAAGAAGAACTTCATCAAGTCAGGTCAGTGTGCTTCTCCTGATTGTTCTGATCAGAGTCTGAGGGCTGAGAAATAATCTGAGTTTAAGTCAGATTACCTTCTAATCTCAACAGATCTACTTTAAGACAAAAAGATGAAGAACTGAAATCCGTCACTCAGAGGTATTTGTTTGAAATAAGTTATAGTTTCTCTGCACCACTGAGGTTCCATGCTGATCGTTAGATTGACAAACATGCAGCGGTGGACGAAGTACTCGATAGTAGCACTTTAGTAAAAGTATTTATACTCAGAGACAAATCTGACTCAACTAAAAGATGAAAAGTAAAAAAGTTACTCATTCAAACATCAAGTTAAAGTATTGAAGTATTGACTTTTGAAAATACTTAAGTATTCAAAAATGTAAATTAAAATAACATTTTCTAATATCAGTAATTTTGTAGAACCTGTAACTTTTAGAAACCACCTGAAGTATTGATGCGTAGAACCACCTGATATCGATCCTAGAACACCTGGAAAGTACTTCAACATGAAAATATGTATATATATATAATATATGGTTATTTTGTTATTATTTCTTATTTGAAAACAAACCAAATAGAAAACAATAGAGTCTTGATTCTTCTCTTTCTTTCAGTAGAGAATAGAGGTCTAAGGTTGAATCTTTTACAAACTTCAACTCTTCTTTGAGTCATCCTACTGAACAACTTGGCCTCATGGCAACAACTAACGCCTTAATAAAATGATAAACTACTAATAATATCTGCTCTGAGTTTCTCATATTTATGGAACGTCATTAAATCTGTAAATCAGTGGCGTCCAGATTCAGTCCTAAAGGCTGCTATCCGCCATGATGGAATTACATGTCAATAAAGAAAAACAGCAACAGAGGATTAAAAAGCTGAGCTGAGTAACTAGCAGCTTCCTCCAAATGTAGTGGAGTTAAAGTTATAAATATGTCAAAAATTACTCAAGTAAAGATACTTAAAAAGTACTTAAGTAAATGTACTTAGTTACTTTTCACCACAGCAGAAACATCAGCAGCAGGTTATGATTAAATCCTCAATCTTATTTTAATGCTTTGATCTGTTTTACCTCAGATTTATTAAAACAAAGACTTCTGATGAATATTTCTTTATTTACTAAAGTTTCAATAAAGGATCGAGTTTTTCTCATATTGAGAAAATGATGTAGTTCAGAGTAAATTCTGCCTCCTGGTCCAGGAGATAATTTCCCAAATGTTTTAATGAAGTGCGTCTTAAGCTGCTTCAGAACTGAGCTGCTGTTTGCTAACAGGAACCAGACGGCGTGAAAACATCTCACTGATTTCATTTCCTTCAACCACTTCCTGTTTGCTTTAGGATTGTTTTTCTTATAGTTTTTAAATGTCTAAATGTTCTGGCATCTCTTTGTCTCCAAAAGCTTCTACAGACACATTTCCCATACTGCATCTCAGACATGCATTATGGGAAATGTGTCTCAATGGGAATGGATTCAGTTTTATGATTGGGTAAAATATAAAGAGGAGATATATCTTTTGGAAATTTGTCTAAGAATGATAGAAAATAAAGGGAATTAAGAATAAGTTAAACATTTGCAGAAAATCAAGGTGAGCAAACTTCAGCAGGTTTGTAGTTTAATTTCATCTAATTTCTATAATAGAACAGCAGCAGAATTCAGCGTCTGTAGAGAATTAGTGTAAGATTCAAAAATGTAGGTTTGTAAAAGAGGAACTGAGTCCACACAGGAAAGAGATATTCAGCAGCTCCTGCAGGAGGGGAGAGAGCCACAACCCAACTCTCCGACTGTCTCTCATGGACCCCCCCCCCACCCCACCCACTCCCTTGAAGAGCCTTTTTATTAGCAGAGCATAACACATTGGGTGGGTTACAAAACAGAGTATTCTTCTGACAACACAATTGATCAGGTCATAAGACAGAATGCTCCAATGACTGAATCACAAGACAGAGTGAAGCACCTCATTTCTTCAATGTTTTATATGCACACACATTAACTTTATAATCATCATTGAATAAACCTAACATTTCACTCCTGTTGTGCATATAAATATCAGCATGTAGCACTTCTAAAAAGATGTTTACTACACACATCATAAATGCATTGCAGATAGGGAATTCAGTATTCAAAGATTAATATGCAAAGTAAAAATGAAAAGGATTAAAATGTAAAACTTAAGTAAAAATGTAAAATTTATCAGGAATGTAAAAAGCTTCAAAAACCTGTCCCTTGAGTAGGCAAAACCTCTCCAATAAAAGGAAATTCCTACCCGACCCTTCCCTTGAAAGCGATCATTATCCCTGTAACATATTACACAGTTGCAACATCATCAGTATCCTCACCAGCATCTTGGCGGAGTTGAGCATA